TATATTGATTTTTAGAAATTGAAATCAAAATTGAAAGTGAATTGCATAAAAAATTTGATTTTTTATTCATTTCAATCCAATTCAGTTTTACGATTTTTGACTGTTCTTTTTTTTTCAAATTCAATGACCAAAGAAAACAAAATTAAAGCTTAAATCAAGTGTAAATATTCAAATTTAAATACATAAAAATATTATTAGTTATAATATTTTATTTATTTAAATTTATCTTATAATAAATTCAAAGTGGATTTGTTTAGAATAATTATTTTATTTTATTAAAAATTTGCCTTATATTTTAAATTGAACCAAAATCAAACCACAAAATGGAAAATCTAAACCAAACTGAACCACATAACTCATTTCAGATCAATTTTTTTATTTTCTCAGTTTTATTTCTTAGCCCTACACTGAATATATATAATTAAAAGGGGTAAAATATACAAATGCTTACTAAAGTTTAAGTTTTCGTTTTTCCCACTAAAATTTCAAAAGTAATAGTTGGTAACAAAAACATCAAATAGTTCCTTAAACAATAATTTTATATCTAATTTACCCCAAAAGCTTTCTAATTTCTATTTTTTCCAAACATCCTAACACCTCCACTACATTCATGTGAACCACCATTCACGCAACACCAAACCAAGACAACTTGTTAGTTGCACAATAAAATCGTTGCCTTGATCCACTCCAACTATTACCTTTAAAGAGCCTGAAGAAGTATGTTCTGTGAACCAAAATATGAATTGAATTGTATTTTACCGGGTTTTATAAATCAAAACCGAAATCAAAAGTGGATGACATAAAAACTGCGATTTTTTATTCTATTAAATTCAGTTTGATTTGGCGATTTTTCACTATTCACTATTTTTAAAACTCAACATTCAAAAAAAAAAAAAATTAAAGTTTAAATCGAGTTTAAATATTCAAATAATTCATAAAAAAAATATAATTAGTTTTAAGATTTTATTTATTTAAATTTATCTTATAAGTTCAAATAATTGAGGTCGTGGGATTGAATCCCACGGAGGGCATTTCAAAATTCGGAGGTCTTCTACGGAAGCTGCTCTCAACCTGGTGTTGGGATCAGTCTACTATCTTACCTCCCCTTACCCCATTACATATGAGAACAAGGGGCAACCATTTTTTATAAGTTCAAATAAATAAAATCTTAAAACTAATCATGAGAAGGGATTTGAACACTTAGGACTTTCGTACTTTCGCAGGACTGTTAAGATACGAGTGAAAAGAAACTCGAACAATGGTTTGATGTTTAGGGGAAATGGTGCAAGGACCCAAAGGGACAACAACAGGAAATTTTTGAGTACTTTAGTAAGTATTTTGATTGTAAATTTGTATAGATTAAGGAAATTATATTTTTCACAAAGCTTCGTGCTTTATATTGGCTTAAGGCGTCGAAAGATGATTTGTCTCCAAATCAGGATGATTGGTGGATTATTCGCGTAGTGAACTGAAAAACACCTCAGGTGGTTCTTGCGAGGTGTACTCCTGCGGTAGATTTAGTCAAATTCTTTGTAGCTGGAAACGTGGCAGTAGCAGCGTCAGTTGCGGGGGAGTCCTTCTCTCAAAGGATAGTGTGATGAGAGCAATATTTTCTGGGTTAGTCGTAGGCGATAACATAGAATCAGCATTGCTGACAGTGATTAAAAGAGCTTTGGAGATTTTCATCAAGGCCAAATGGTCGGGGAAGGGTATTGTTTTACCCTCAAAGACGGTGTGAAAGTGGTTAGTGGATGTGGAATCAAGGCCGTGGAACCGGTGGCAATCCTTAATAGAGATCGACAGGTTGGTGAGTTCCATTGAAGATGTTCATTTCTCCACTTCCAGCTGGCAACCTTCTTCTTTGGCTCATCATATGACAATGAAAGAATGTGGGTAGTCTTTTCATCTTTGCTGGTGGGAGGGATTACATTTCAATGCAGCGTGATGTTTGTAATATTTTGGTGGCCTGCGTGTATCCCAACTTTATGTTTTTTAGCTCTGTGCTTTTTTTTTTTGTTCGTCTTGTAGCCAGGAGAGATTTGTACGGCCTCAGGGGTTTTGGTGTTTCGGTGTCGCTGAAGCTTTATTGTTATTGTTTCTTTGCCCCGAGTCAATAGTACTCTTTTCCTCTATTTAGGTCTAGGGAGATTTTTAACGAGGCTCTTGACTTAGGCTCGATTAATAAAAATCATTTTGCTGAGCAAAATATTTTTACCTATAATAAATTTAAAATGAATTTGTTTTGGATAATTATTTTTTTTAACTTGGTTTGATTTGGGAAAAAAAGGTTTTCATATGAAACAATTGAAATCAAATCAAATTATATAATTATATTTTTAAATCGAATCAAAATCAAACTACAAAAATGAAAAACTCAAACCTAATCCAACCATATATCTCGATTCGGATCGGTTTTCTCAATTTCATTGTTCAGTTATATTGCTCTCTGCAGCCTCTCAAATTCCAGAGGCCAATGAAGAGTTCTTGATGCTGAATGCGTCCGATCCAATCCTACAACTTTCATGAATTATTTGTATTTTTTCTACTAATTTCCCCTAGTCTGTTGGTTTGTTGGTTAACTAAAATAATTGTACTTCAGAGATAGAGTGTGCGTGTGTTGGACATATACATGATTTAACAAGTTAATATATTAATTTTTATCACTTTCATATTATTTTCTATACATTATATATTTAATTACTTTTTGGATATTGTATTATCATTAATTTTCTTATGTTGTAATATAATAAATTTATATACATTTTACATGTCATTGATTTATTTATTTTATAAACTTTAACATGTTTGAAATTAAAAGATATTTACTGGAAAAAAAATAATGAATTAATCTTAGTCTTTGATTTCTCCTCGTCCAATCATCTTAAAAGGATGTAAAATTAAAAGGTTTGCGTGAGGTGTAAGTTGATATTAACTTATATATGTATATACAAATTTTATACTATGTATATATATAATTGATCCCCTAACCACTCCCACTTTTAGTCTCTCACTCACTTAACCATTGGCACTAGATTCACTAAACCTTTTTCGTTTTAATAATATATAATAAATGTCGATTCTATTAGCATTGTAGTAGTTAAAGAATCATTGGCATTCGGGTCTCTATGTTGTCTATGATAGTTAGGTACATTAACGGTAATGAAACAAGAAAACTAAAAACAAGCATAGAATTTATATGATATAAGATAAAAATATATATAAATACTTTTAGGATATATTACCGAATTGGTCACCTTTTTTATATTTGTATATTTTTGCTTACTAGATTTAAAAAAGTTATGTATTGATCACTTATGTTATGAATTATTTAATTTTTTCACTTACCTTGTTGACTATTATATTTTGCTCAAGTAACTCTTGATAGTTTGATGACGTGACATTTTAGTTAAAGTGAGTTAATTTTTAATTTGATCCGAAATTTTAGATAGAATACTGCTTTGACCCTGGACTTTAGATGAAATTCCATTTTAACCCTTAAATATTATATAAAATATTAATTAATTTAGCCATCAAATTCGAATAAAGTTTCTTAATTCTGACCGTCACTCACCACTATTGACGCTGGTCTTCGTAGATGCTGACAATCAGACCTTAAAATTTTCAGTTCACTCATTTTAGACCTCCTAAGCGCAAATATGATGTCCACTTCACCAGAAATACTCTAAACTCAACAAATTTAGATTAGATTCCTTCAACTTCCTTTAAAATTAAACCATAATAATAAATTTACAATTAATATTCATTTAAAAATAAAGACACCAAAAATCTAAATCTCTATGCATACATTTTCTGTTTGTAATATTGTTATGTTATAATTTTTGTTATATTTATAATATTATAATTTTGATATTTATAAATTATAATATTATAAAATTTTAATATTTAAAATAATAATATCATTTGGACTAATTTGTGTTTGCCAATGGTCTATCAATAGTTAAATCCTCTTCTACGGTCGCTTGTCATAGCTGTTAAATTTATTCGTATTTACTTATTGTTCGAGTTTTTCTTGATAGGTTTTCATCTTTTCCTTGTAAGGTCATTATATGATCTTAATTGACTAATTTTTTGTGTTAATAGTTACAAAAATCCTAATTATGTGTTTAATTTACTATTCTAGTTATAAACCCTTATTTTAATTTTGGATGTTTCTGTCCAAAACAAATAATATCATTCAGACTCTTTACATATTTTTGTTAGATATGTCGATGGTGCTCAATGTTTTGATAAATAAATAAATAAAAATATAGAAAATCAAATTATAAATAATAATTTTATAAAATTTATAGTCTCATAATTTTTTTATTTCAAAATTAATAATTATTTCTTTACATACATAATAAAATATAAAACATTTCACAATTATATAATATATATATATATAATAAAATTCATCACATCTCTAATATTTGTAAATATTAAAAATATATAAAATGTTATGTTATAATTTTTTTCTTATGTTTAATTGTTTATAATATTAATTATATTTTTTAATATATATACATATAAACTATTTTTTGTTAAGTTTTTTTATATACGCATACATAAATGTATGGGTATATTTAATATAATTTTTCTATTGAATAGTCTGGATGAATATAAGGTAGTTTATGTTTATAATCTTTTTTAACTATTGACAACATACATACAATCTACAAACATACTTGTTTGGACTTAAGACCTCAAGAGAGAACAAGATAGTACAAACAGCCTAACATATTTTAGTGACACAAAAAAAGAATATAAATAACGTATCTTACCATAGTGTTAGATTAAATTTATTATATATACGTGACCAAAAATAATATATATTATTGATGGGGCATGGACACGCAACATAGTGCATCAAAAGAATATTAATTAATTGAGCCACTTGATTCATGGATAACTCATGTATACAGTAACCTCCCCGTCCATGTATCTCAATTTTAGCCTATAAATAACATATTTCATAGCAAAACAGAAAGACTTCAGCTAAGATGGATAAGATCAATTTCAATGGAGAGAATGTGAATGAGCTACTTGAAGCTCAAGCTCACGTTTGGAATCACATTTTCAACTTCATAAATTCAATGTCCTTAAAATGTGCCGTTGAATTAGGTATCCCTGATGTCATTCACAACCATGGCAAGCCCATGTCTGTCACCGAGTTGGTCTCCGCACTACCAACGCTCCACCCTTCCAAGGCATGCAACATCCATCGGCTCATGCGTATGTTAGTTCACTCCGGCTTCTTTTCAATACAAAAGCTTAGCGATGACGCCCAAGAAGAAGGCTATGTTCCTACCACTGCATCTCGTTTGCTGCTCAAGGATGATCCCTTGAGCTTTGCACCTCTTGTGGAAGTTCTGCTGGATCCTATGTTAACAAATCCTTGTGATTTTCTAATCATCTGGTTCCAAAATAATGATCGTACCCCATTTTGTACCGCACATGGGAAGGAATTCTGGGAACATGATTTCTGTGGCAGAAACCTCATCGATATTCTTAATAAAGGCATGGCCAGCGATTCTCGGTTGGTTACAAGTGTTTTGATTGAAAAGTGTAAGGGCTTATTTGAGGGATTGAATTCATTGGTGGATGTTGGAGGTAACATAGGAACAGTGGGAAAGGCAATTGCTGATGCATTTCCACTCTTGGACTGCACTGTGTTTGATCGTCCTCAAATCGTTGCTGGCCTACAGGATAGTGGGAACTTGAAATATGTTGGGGGCAACATGTTTGAACAAGTTCCAGCTGCAGATGCTGTTTTACTAAAGGTTTTTATTAGCAACATTAATAGCATTGTACAGCAAGTTTTATAGCACCATTAATTCTAAGACTAATTCTTTTGTGTTGATTGAACAGTGGGTATTGCACGATTGGAACGACGATGAATGCTTGAAGATTTTGAAGCAATGTAAAATAGCTGTTTCCAGTGGAAAGGAAGGAGGGAAGATGATTATAATAGACATACTATTGAAGAAGAATGAGGAAGTGAAAGATGAAGCCTTTAACTTGATCAAACCACAGCTCCTATTGGACATGGCGGCGATGGTGGTGATGGGCGGCAAACAGAGAGAGGAGGAAGAATGGGCTAAGCTGTTTTTCACTGCAGGTTTTAGTGAATATAAAATTAGTCCTATTATGGGTATGAGATCTGTCATTGAGGTCTTCCCCTAAATAAAAGTTGTATCTCTTTCATGCTTGTTTAACTCATCACTCCAATAAACAATGAAGGATTTATTCTTCTTCCTAGCCTTTTCCCTTTTCCATTGAACCAATTGTTGCAGTTGGAGTTGGAGTTGTAACATTGAAGGCAACATTTTTTACGTTGATTTTATTCATTTTGTTTTCTTCCAAGTTTATTTCAAATTTGAGGTGTAAATAAACAGAGTGTTCGGTGAATCGTTCGTATAACATTCATTTATTTTCGTTTGTTAAGTTAAATAAACGAGAATAAACAAAAATTTTATCTTCATTTAATAAACGAACAAACCTGAACATAATTGTGTTCAAATTGTTTATGTTCACAAACAACCTCGTTTATCGACTAGTTCGTTTATGTTCATAAACAAACTTGTTTAATGACTTGTTTAAAAGTTCGTTTACCTTTTATTTTTTTACATCTTTAATATTGTTGAATGTAGGGACTAAATTGAACATATTGTAAATTTTGAGGTTTAAACTAAAAAAATTAAAGACTTTAAGCACTATGGCGTAATATTACTACTCTTTTGCTTAAACATAAACATGATTACCAACCTTTAATGAATATATCTGTAAACATATAAACTAATACTAAACAAACGTTAAATAAATATATTCGTGAACACTAAACGAGCATGTTCGCGAATATATAAATGAACACATTCGTGAACGCTAAACAAATGAACATGAATCCCTTCAAAGATAAATAAACAAACATGAATCCCTTCAAAGATAAATAAACAAACATGAACATAATATTAAAAATTAAAGGAACACAAATCGAATATGAATACTTTTAAAAATAAACAAATATACAAAAATACGATCTTATTTGTTCAAGCTCGATTCATATACACTCTTATTTCAAATGTATACAATGATTCATTTACTTCATTTCTATTCTTTGTGCTGATGTCTTTAAATTTTTACAAGCGCTACGACTTTGATAGCAAAATATTTTGGCAAAGATATCAGCACTTCATGTAACAATTTTATCTTTAGAATATTGTTCATTATATTGACTGTGATGATGGGTTAAATGAGTTACCATAATTATAAGTGATTCTTTCCATTTTAATTTAGATAAAGAATCACAATTAATAAAAAAAATTATCATTAATCAATGTTGATATTTTCTTTCTCCCTAAGGAGGTAGAGAAATAGACGAGGATGAGATGGTTTCATTTAGATTCTACCTGTGTTGATATTCTCGACTATTAAACTAAATAGATATGATGAGGTGGTTTTGACACTTGTCGCAACCGGTTTTCGTCCGGGCACGAAATATTTATTTGGCGGGAAAATTGATGTGAATAAATGGTTTTGAAAATAATTTGGGAGTCGCCATCGGCCTTTTGGGTCAGGTAGGTCGAATACCTAAAAATTATTTTTTAAAAGAGTTTTAAGAAAACATCAATTAAAAAATGAACTGATCTGCGTTTATAACCAAAAATTCGTTCTTTTTAATAATAAAAAGGGATTCGTGGTCGGTTACGTTTAGGGAAGGATTAGCACCCATACAACGCCCAATATTGGTACTTTTTAATTATAAATTGTCTCTATTATTAAAAATTAAAAAAATTCAAAATATATTTAATTTATAATCCTATTATAAAAAATATTTATTTATTTAAAAATATCAGAAAAGGACTTCTAGGTGCCTTAAGACAGTTCTTTTCTTTGATATTAATAAATATTAATTTGAATAAAATTAAATAATAATTAAAAAAAATTATATTTAATTTTAAAATATCGGAATAGGACATCCAGTTGTATTAAGACTGCTCTTTTCTTTGATATTGAAAAATAAATGTTAAAAATAATTTATTTAAAAAAATATTTATTTATTATATATATATATTTATGACTACATAATAATAATAAAAATATTTAAACAAATAAAATTACAATAATAAATACAATTAGAACTATATTTAAAAGCAATAAAAGAAATAAAAAAACATTTAAAATAAGTGACTAAATTATAAAAAAAATCTAATTCATAATTAATCAAAATTACAGAGATTAAATATGCTATTTTCTTATTTTATTTACATAGTGACTAAAATAAAATTTTTCTAAAATTCGAATATCAGATTAAAATAAATTAAAAATATAAACTCGGGATTAAAATATTAATTATTAAAATTATAGGACTAAATCTGTTATTTATCCTAAATATATTATTTTAATACAAAGGGCTAAAATAAATAAAATTAAAATTTAAAGATCAAATTAAAAGTATTATAAACTCGATTTAGTGACTAAAATGTAAAGTTTACAAATATTGATGGCTGCGGAAATGATTTAACATTTAAAAAATTACGCAAATAGCCCTCCCCAAAACGACGTCGTTTGGGAAGGGCTATTTAAGCCCAAAACGGCTGGCCCGAAGGGCCAGCTATCTCAGTTCTCAGTTTACTCTATCTCTCTAAACTGAGAGAGTTTTAAAACTCTCTCGCCTCTCTCTAGCTTCCCTCATCGGAGGGAAGCCGGTCACCGGGCGGCATCCGTTTGCCGCCGTGATCGTCACCGCCGGCCACCGTATCCGGTGGCCGAAATTTTTTTTTTACACTATCCTGTAGATCAGACCGTCCTAACGACGGTTCCGTTGTTATTTTCTTTTAAAAAGCTCCCAATCGGAGCAAATCTAGGAAAATACCTTCGGTTTTCGAAGGTTGTTGGTGACGTTTGGAGGGGTCCGGTGGTCGTGGCTTTCTCGGTAAGCTTCTCTCCTCCCTTTTCTTCTGTTTTTGGTTACTGGTTGTTGTGATTTGATCTCTATTTTTGTATCTTTTGCTCTCGGTTTTGTCTCTCTGGGGTCTGTTGTTCTTTTTTCCGGTCTTTGCAGGTTGGGTGATGGCTTTATAGCCATCACCGGTGCTCATCTCGGACCGGTCCGAAGGATAGAGTTCGGTGAGTCACCGGACTTCCAGTGGTGACTCACCATTTGGGAAATACGTGTGCGGCTACGGCCGACCTTCTGGAGCCTTCGGTGAGACGTGGCACTGGCAGCAGAGGCGGCTGGAAGCTGGACCGTTGGCTGAGGCGGCTGGAAACCATTGAGGCGGCGGCACACGGGGTTAGGGTTAGAAAACTCTAACTGAAACCCTAAATGTTTAGGGTTTCGATTTGATTTGGGCCAGTTGACTGGGCTTGTATTTTTTTATTATTATTTATGTATATATATATATATATATTTATTAATAATAATAATAATAATAATATTTATAATAATAATAATAATAATAATATAATTATAATAATAATTATAATTATAATTATAATAATAATAAATAAATAAATATGGGTAAAAAATTAGTATCTTCAGCTGCCCCTCTTTGCTCATTCTTGTGTCAACAGGAATAGGGCAAAGATGAAAAGATAATAAATTTTTTTATCCATTTGGCTTCACTTGATTATGATAGAGATGTTGAATAAATTCTTCTCTTTCTTCAGATGAGTTCTTCTCATTATGAACTTTCTGCTGGGGATGAGGTTGACCTATTTCCTTCTGTGATAGAGTCATTCAAAAGGTTAAATAAGCTCTTCTCATTATGAACTTTCTCTAGAAAGGTTGATGCTAATCTATCTCCTTCTGTGATAGAATTATGCAAAAAGTTGAACAAGCTCTTCTTATTATGAACTTCTTCTTCCTTCTTCAGATGAGTTCTTCTCATTATGAACTTCTCTGGAAAAGCTGCTCCATCAAGTGATGGATTTGAGCAAAAGGTTGAACAAATTCTTCTCATTATGAACTCTTCCTGGCAATGTTAATCCATCAATTGATGAATTTAAACAAAAGGTTGAACAAATTCTTCTCATTATGAACTTTTTCTTCCTTCTTCAGATGAATTCTTCTCATTATGAACCTTCTCTGGAAAAGTTGATCCATCAAGTGATGAATTCAGGCAAAAGGTTGAACAAATTCTTCTCATTATGAATTTCTTCTTCCTTCTTCAGATGAGTTCTTCTCATTATGAACTTTCTCTGGAAAAGCTGATCCATCAAATGATGGATTTGAGCAAAAGGTTGAACAAGCTCTTCTCATTATGAACTTTTTCTTCCTTCTTCAGATGAGTTCTTCTCATTATGAACTTTCTCTGGCAAAGCTAATCCATCAAGTGATGGATTTGAGCAAAAGGTTGAACAAATTCTTCTCATTATGAATTTCTTCTTCCTTCTTCAGATGAGTTCTTCTCATTATGAACTTTTTCTGGAAAAGTTGATGCCGATCTATCTCATTCTGTGATAGCGTCGGGCAAGAGGTTAAACAAATTCTTCTCATTATGAACTTCTTCTTCCTTCTTCAGATGAGTTCTTCTCATTATGAACACTTCTGGCAAATGTTTATCCATCAAGAGATGAATTCGAGCAAAAAGTTGAACAAGTTCTTCTCATTATGAACTTCTTCTTCCTTCTTAATATGAGTTCTTCTCATTATGAACTCGATCTAGCAATGCTGATCCATTGAATGATGGATTTAAATCTTTGCTAAAATCTTTGAAATTCCTGTTAAAAATTCAACATGGATGAAAATGAATGAAAATGCACCTATTTTTGCAAACACCTAAATATGATGCATGAATGTTAAGTTATTTGATTTCTGATTGGTGAATTGAGTATTTCTTCAGTTGTAAAAACCCAATAGATCTTTCTTCATCAAATCAGAGAATCTATCCTCTTTGACAAATGTAGAGGTAGATATAATGTCACAAAACTTCTTGAGAATAAAACTCAATAGTATAGGCTCTTGAAAAGCTTGCCTTCATGTGACATGTTGATTCTGATAACAACTCATCTGATTATGAAATGTCCTTTCAAGATGATTTCACAGATATCGATAGTTCTTTTAATACCAAGAAATCTTGAATTCTGATTCTGATGAGGAGAATAAACTGTTATACTTGACAAAAATGGGATTCTCAGAGGCTGAAGCTTCAATAGCCATGGAGATATGTGGTCCAGATTCATCAATTGCAAATTTTATATGTACT